ATAAGCTGTAGAAAACAAATCAATCCATAAACTGTTCTCTCTTCCCTTGCCAAACATCTACAATTACCACATGTCCGCTTCACCAAAAACAAATACAGCAAAAAACATAATGAGCAAACTAATTTTCTGTCCCACCATCAGACGCTTGTCTCACTTCAAATTCTTGCCTTCTTTTAAAAATTTAATTCCTGCTTCCACCTAATGTATCAACAACCAAAAGATACAGAAACTCATGTAGAGTCTAGAGGAAGTGCAATTGCTCAAGAGAAGAAATAAAACACGGAAAAGATATCTGCTGTGTTGACCAAGGCATTTTTGAAAAGAAAAAAATTGCAACAACAGCTATAATACTTGAGGGTACTCCGCAACTTCCAGACTGGGGAACTAAATGCCATGCTTTTTTTTTTTTATGGGTGGAAGTTAAAGTCTTTGAAATCTGGTGTCCAAAGCAGCAAACCACTTTAGAGAAGAGGAATAAAATAGACAAATAAAAGAAAAAGGGGATCAAGTCGAACTTTGTTGGAAACCAGATGTTTTCCGCTTGCAGCCTTATAATTTCCAAAAAACAAATTTGTATCCTCTTAACTTTTAGGAAGAATTCAAAAAAATTAAAGAAAACTATCCCAGATGCACAGCAATCTGTACAGATGAATCCAAACACAGAAATATAACAGAATGTGCAGCAATATCATAGAAGAAAATAAGCAGCAAATGCCTCACAGATAAAACTATCTTCAATGCTGAAGCCTGTGCTTTTTAATGAAAACCTACTTAGAGGGAAAAATTACTTCTATTTTCTTGGTATAATAAACTGTTACATATTCTATAAACTACAGTAGAAATGTGGATGTGTGAATAACATAATGGATATTAACAGGGAAAGTGAAGCTGGTGAATTGAGTTCACCGTTGCACAAATGCTCTTAGATAAGGCATAAATCTCTCTTCCCTCTTCATATTTAATTAAAATCAGACTGAAATATTGAAACTCATGATTGACTTGATGTAATTATAATTACAGTTTATATTATTGAAGTTGAAACAAAGTATCTATAAACAACAAACAAAATGTTGTTAGCAACTAGAAGAATTTAGAAATGCTATTGTATATTCATATGGTCAAATGAAAAATTATGTCAATTACTTTTTATGTTTGAAGAGAATATTTTCATGTATAGAAATATTGTTTGTATTGTGCTGACAGATTCAACTATTTTCTTTTGATTTCTTGATATATTTGTTGTGTATGTTGGCTTGGGAGAAGAGTGATCTGAAGGAATCAAAAGAAAACGGCTGAATCCATCAACACAATACAAACACTATTTCTACATGTGAAAATATTCTCTTCAAACATAAAAAGTAATTGACATAATTTTTAAGTTAACCATATGAATATACAATAGCGTTTTTAAATTCTAGTTGCTAACGACATTTTGTTTGTTGTTTATAGATACTTTCTTTCAATAAATTCATTTTATATTTTGCCTTGAAGAAGTCCACATTCGACAAAACGCATTGGCTAAAACTACAGTTTTCCTATTGTCCTTTTCCTTAATACATTATTGAAGTTGTATAGATAAGTAAATAAATGGATGAATTATTTTTTAAAATTTGGTTTTACACAAGAGGTGTTTATGTCTACATTTGTCAAAAAATTTTTTTATTTAACAACTAGCAGTAGGGCCTGGCATTGCCCGGGGATGTAACAGTAAGAGATAGATCAAATATCGACCATCATAAAGACTGAAAAATAAAATTGACAAAGATTATTGTTTAAGGTTGACGGACACGCATGTCTTAATTAGTTTTTTTTTTTACGAATTGGTCAAACTCAAACAAAAACATTGTTTACAATCGTTATGAGTCTACCAATTGAATAGAATTTTTCAATTTTATTATAAACAATTGTCTTGTAAATGGAATTTTTAAAGCATTCTGAATGTAAATAAAGAAAAAAGTGTGCAAGACAATAAGAAACACTACCTGCCAAAAAAAAAAAAAAAAAAAAGTGGATGTTTGTTTTATCGGCTGAAAATGTAAGAAATCCGATCCCATATATAAAGGAACACACACACACACACACACTGGGTTTTTTTTTTACCTAAGTCACTCCACGGAATCGCTAAAACATAGAGCATAGTCTGATGAAAAAAGACGCTAAAGTTTATGAAAACAAAGTTTTATTGTCAAAATGCTTGTGTTTTTTATGAAGAGGATAGACTAAATTTTTTTAATTATTTTTAAAAATTTTTCCATCTTTTTAGAATATTCTAAATTTTGATTTAAAAACCTTGTTTCTCTTTGTCGCAACAAGGGGTAGTAAATAACATAGATAATTTTAAGCGCATTTTTTGTATTTACACACATTAATTTGGAAAATCTTGCAAAAATAAAAATAATTGTCAGATGTTAATGAAACTATCAGAAACTATTCACAGATGATCGAAATTATTATAAATATTTTTTTTTTTTATTAAAGTCATGGCAGAAATATTTTTTTTATATTTATTAACACCCCCATAACTAATTTTATGAAAACTCTAGAAATTCGAGACCATCGGTTTTAGTGATTACAATAGTTAAAAGCACAAGGCTTTGAAGAATGCAAATCATGTATTTTTTTTTTTTTTTTTTTTGGCCAACGTACCTGAAAATCAGCTGTGAATTGTAACATACAAAAACTCAATAAAACAAATATATTATTTAGTTTCAAATGCTTTTATTTGTTTTTATGAATATGGACAATATTTTCTGAAGCAAAAAATTTTTTTTCAATGAAAATTGAATTTTTAATAATTATTTCTTTTTCTTTAATTTTAAAAAGATTTTTAAAAATGTTTAAATTGAATTTTAAAAAATATTTTAACATTAGTTAGTTAAATGCAACATCAACCTTTCAAAATGTCCATGTGAGATTGTCATTGTCTAGCGCTTTGAAAATTGTATAATTTGGGCCAATCAGATTAGCAATGGTAATTAAGAAATGTAATTTTTATGTTTATAGTCGGACAGTAATTATACAGTACGGAAGACCAACCAGAATACAATTTAGTTGCATTATTTGAGTTCAGCATTGTTCTCCGCTGTTAAGCCCTTTACTTTTGCGAAACACTTATGGAGAAGTTAATTTGAGTTTTCAATTTCAACTGAGAAGGGTACCTATACAAGTAACAGTATCATCTTATGAAATTTAACTACTGCTCAACTTTAATTTATATGATCTTATTTTTATATTAATCTCAGTTATGACATTTTTCCATAAATGAAATATCAAAATTAATAATAAAATGAATGGAAATACAAATAACACAGTAAAATGTAATAAATGTACATAAAATTATAGTATTTTATGTACACTTCTGATAAAATTTCATAAGAAAGGTACCTAAATTAATTAGATACCTTTTTCTTATGAAATTTAATCTCACTATTAACAGTCTTATTTTTTAATTTCTTTATATTTTCCATAAAGCATCGTAAACATAAAAATGAAAGCTAAGTACAAAAAAAAAAAAAAAAAAAAAAAATTAGCGCTGAAAGTTTTCCTTAAAAGTAACGAGATAAATAATTTGTTCACTTAAATAATTTCACTTCCTTCCATCCATAGAAAGAATTACCCTTCCGTAAGTTATCTAAACGTCATGAATGTGCCTTTTCGTCAATCGTCAAGCGACGCGAAGGTTATGACCTGCTTTGTTTTATTTTCAAATTACATTTTTCGCGCAGAAGCTAAGTTAAGCTTGGTTCAAAATATTTTAAATAAACAGTATAATATCTGTTTTTATTAAAATCAGTTTTGAAAAAGTGATAATTGATTTTTAAAAGAATATCAAAGTAAGATTTTAATCTTTTTTATCAGATTGAAAAAAATGAAAAATGATTATCTGTCCTTTTTTTTGACCAAAAAAAAAAAAAATTTTTAACGAAAATTTCAGATGTGCTAGGAACGATTAAAAAATGTAAAAAAAATACTCCTAAAATACTTTGATCTTTCCTCTTTAATAATAATATGAACATTAGACGATAAAATTTTGTTTTCGTCAAGTTCGGCGTCTTTTTCATCATGCTAGGCTCTTTTGTTTACATTTTCGTGGGTGAGTTGTCCCCCTTTCATTCGCACGATGTGTCTTAATCGTGTTTTCAAATTGATTTTCTTAAAAAACAACTGTGTTTTTCCCATTTTTGGCGCCGTTAGAACCACCAAAAGGTAATTTTATGTAGTCCTGTGAAGTTTTGTTGAAATCGGCTAAAAAATGTAGGAAATTCGATCCAACATATAAACGTTACAGACACACACACACACAACCTGCGTTTTATAATAAGTAAGATTTTGATTTTTTTAAATTTTTCTTTCAAAGCATAGTCAGTAATTTTTGCTACTAACATTGCAAGGAGACGCTGGGCAGAGGAATTGAAAAAGAAGTAATTTAATGGTGCGAGTACTTGTATTAGATACACAAGAGTATGTGGGGGAGAAACTTAGTAGAAAAAGAAAAGCTGACTTATTTTAATGAAAACTGTCATGGTCTCACAAAGCAGAAAATTAGTCTTGTACTGTTTCAGAAAAAGTTGTATAAGAAATGAATGATAAAGAAAAAAAAAAAAAAAGCCTTGAAAACAAACCTTTAAAAATTGCATTTTTATTTTCAATAAAAAAGGCTTCAAAAAGGAGCAACTTAAAGGTTCTTACAAAAATTAGATAGATAAAAAAAAAAGTCTATATATCTTTTTGGTCCTTTAAAAATTAAACAAAAAAAAAATAAAATTTGAGATTCATCCTCCATTGTTTGTTTGGTGATGAGTAACTTGAAAGGAAATTTTCTTTTAAAATTTGAGATTCAGCCTCCATTGTCTGTAATTTAAAAAGCTTCAATAATTTGAGATTCTTCATAAAAAAATTTTAGCTAAATAATTTTTTTTTAAAGTGAGAAGATTTAGTAAACATTTCTGCATAAAAATACAACATTCATATCTCTGTTATCAATGTTTATGCCATTTTCTTTATCCAATAATATTTAATTCTTTCCCAATCTGCTTGAATGCACCGACTGCACGATCAATCTCATCATTAGTGTGAGCACCTGAGATCTGCACACGAATCCTGGCCTTGCCTATGAAAAAAACAAGAAAAAAAACATATAAGAAGAAACAAAGTTAAATTGGAAGAAGCATCTTTGACAATAAAGTGTTATGTTCAGCTGCTTGTCAAAAGTTTATTGTAAATTTATAAAACAGAGAAATATGAAATATAGGGGACTTTCCTCTAAAGCTTTTCATTTTACTAATTTGCTTATAAAAAAAAAAAAAAGCAAGAGAAGAGAAACAATACAAGTGATTAAGATCTGATAATATTCTTTCAAAAACAGAAATCCATATTTATCAATAGAAACAAATGTGAATAAAGCCTCAAACCTTTAGGCACAACTGGATAACTGAAACCAATGACATAGATGCCGCGATCTGTAAGTAAATGAAAAAAAAAATATGCAAGGAATGTGATTTTACACAAAGTTGGTTTTCAGTGTTGCTTAAAAAGAATTGACTAAAAGACAGAAGGTAAGAACGCAGTTAAAAACCAATGAACAAAAGAATTAAAAAAAAAAAAAAAAGTACTTCCAAAAGTAACAAATTGAAGAAATTGAACAGAAACTTAATTTTTTTAACTATACATCGTTAATTGGTTCCAGAGGTCATAACTTTGGTCAAAAATGACTTGCATTGAAATAACCACACTATAAACTACAAATAAGCACTCCCCATTGCCTATTACAGTAATTATGATATGTATGTAGAGTATTCCAAATAAAATAATTAATTTCCACTTTGTCTTCCAGGTATATAGCTTTACTCTTAGCATTAACACTTTTCTTTGGAGCCGTGGTCAAAAATGTATTCTAAATCACAACTGAAAGAATGTCAATGGCAGAGCACAGATGTAAACAAGTCTGAATTCAAAATTGGTGTTGGAGTGGAAAATAACACGAGTGCCACTGGTCAGCGGGAATTTGAAATAAAAACATCTGCTGAACATACTTTATTATACTAACTTTTTTGTTTTTGATGATATATATATATATATATATCATTTTTAATATGATTGTATGTATTTACTGTTATTTTAGTATTTTGACGTTTCTCATATTTCTAATATCTGACATAAACTAGAGTAAAATGATCTAAGGAGAGTTTTATTTTTCCATATAATATTTAAGAAAAATTGATGTATCTTTGAAAATGACTTAACTTGAAAAGTTGAGGTATTACTGTATATTTTTTCTTATGATTCTAACACATAGAACAAAATACAACAGGATGTTTGGATACTTCTAAATATGGTCTGAGAAAAAAAAGAATATGGTAGAATGCAAGTAAGGTAACCAGAGTCCAGCAAAGGAAAATTCTGATTGTCCAGATGTGAAAGAGCTAGTTGCTAGAGAATAAACAAATTAGATTTTATAAGAAAATGAAAAAGCTCTCTATTTGGGTAGACCAGCCAAGAACAGCAGAGTGGTTATCAGCCAAGAACAGCAGAGTGGTTATCAGCCAATTAGCAATCAGCAAAACAGTTTCACTTAACACAAAAAATATGAATGAAAAAAAAAAAAAAAAACCCCAAAAAACAAAAAAACAAAAAAAAAAAAACACAAACACCCAGGGCCTATGTTTGCTAGTGTTTTAAACAAGGGATTTATCTTAGTATCAAATAAACAAAAGCTATATTTTTCTACACAACTGTTGACCTTGTTCCTTATTACGGTTTCTACAAACCATCAGCGTTTTCTCCCTCTTTCAGCTAAACTTGAATTCCTAAAAAGCAGCTTGCCAAAAAAAAAAAAAAAAAAAAAAAAAAAAAAAAAGTGTGGGAGCATAGAATTTTGTGCTGTAATGTTCGAAATCTAAAAATGTATGAAAAGGCATGAAATGGGGGAACTCTTCAAAGCTGATCAATTTAAATAACCTTTATTATATTCAATATATTTATGAATGAACCGAAAGAAAAAAAAAAGAAGCAATGTATTTTTTTCCCTAAATATATTCATCTGCTCCATCCCATAGTTTCAGTCAACATGGAAATGATCTAGTTTTAATTGGACTATTTGCTCCAAGTAGGTTTAAGCCAAACCAGCAGTAAAATAAAGAAAGATGTTTACTGCTAAAATATGCGCATATGCATTTTGTGACAGATTGCATAATGGGTTTTGCATATTTACATTCAGTTCTTGGTTCTTGTTTCTATAGTAAAAATTTTTTTTTACTAAAAAAAAAAAAATTTTCAGTGTTGATTTTTACCTTTATTTGTACAGCTATCTTTTGTTAAAAACAAGAACCATGACACAAATTCTTCATGTGGCCTGATGGAAGTGGGGAGAGAGAAAAAAGAGAGAGAGAGAGTCAATGCTAACGAGGATGCACACTAGCATCACTCTAGTAAATTCAATTTTTTTTATTTATCAAAATAAAGCATAGCTTTCTAAAGCAATCTCTAATAGTAACTAATGCAAAGCACAGATGGCATATCGTTAGGGTTCCAAAATCTAAAGAACCAATGTAAATATGTATGTAAATATGTATGTAAATATGTGGGTTGTAATGAATATCGGCTCAGAGGGAAAACTCTGATGACAAAAAAAACAAAAACTAAAAAACACAACTTACCTAACATTTTGTCAGCAAACACTGATGCCAAACGAGCATCTCCAAGCATCACTGGGCATATTGGATGATCAGGATCACCCTGCAAAATTAATTAGAGGGAGAAAAAAAAATTGTTAAATTGATTTTCATTTGTAGTGTGTGTGTGTGTGTGTATTTAATTATAGCAATAGAAAAGAAATTTTTTTTCTTTGCAAAGCGCAAAATTTCATGTACCTTTTTATTTAGTACAGTTACAGTAAATAAAAATATCAAATTGAGAATTTGCAAACAGGCAGAATTTTTTTTCTTATAATTTTGAAGAATCGTTATTATTCCAAGAACTGATCAAACCTCTGGAGCTGTCTTGTATCTTCAGATATAAACCTGAAGAAGGCTGTAGAATAGATTGATCAAAATGATAGGCTAGCAACCAAAAATAATCAGTCCAAATAATTCTTGGAATACAGAGAATCTGTTTGCAAATTTCAGAAAGTAACAAATATACAATTTATGTAAGTTATCATTTCAAAGCTATCACATGGTTAGTAAAAGCATAAATATATCAAATCTTCAGCACAGGATATTAAAAATTTTATAAACTGATTATTCTATAATAAATGAAAACAAGTTAGCTTACTGCTTCTCCCGACATATATGGAGGTACAAAAGAAAAAAAAAGAAAAAAAAAAAAAAAAAAAAAAAAAAAAAAAAAAAAAAAAAAAAGAAAAGCTTTCAACTCTCAAAGATCCAGTGGTTAGAATACTGTCATTTTCCGATCCCAAAATAAAACATGATTATAAATCAATGTTTTTTTCTTAAATATTGCTTGTCAAATTACATGCACATGCTGAGAAATATACAAATGTGTAATGAAAAGCTCCAGGCTTGACTCACTGCTCAAAATTTGACATGACCAAATATCAGATTCCTTTTTTTCTTTGAAAGGCTTCTGGTATGAGCTGAGAACTTTTCAGCATTCATAGCATATTTTTATCTGTGAAAATGAGTTGCAAAATTTCTTGGAAAATGTTAAAAGCTAGAATTGTTAAATCAACTTTTAGAAACTTTGCAGAGCTGCGAGTATTTATTTAAAAATGTTTCCGAAAGTACTTTTACAACTTACAGCAACATTGAAGCCAGCATCAATCATTTGGTTGCGGAAGCGTTGTGTATTAGACAATACCCGACCGGTCAGACTGTCATCTTGCATGATTAGGTCCAAAGCCTGAAAGACAAAATGTTAAGGTTTACATAAATTTTAAATGTCTGTTAAATTGTTTTAAATTTGCATTTAATTTTTTTTATACAATAAACTTTTCAGTGTAAGCATTTTATTAATAAAGTTACAACAGTATTTAAAATATAAACAATTTTACGATTATTTATTAAGCATAGCTTTATCTGGCACAGGAACATATATGTAGGCCAGTTAATGATATCAGCAAAGTATATGATCACACATTTATTTTTATATTTTTTTATAAAAATGAGATTCTGGTTATTTTTGTATTCCACAAAATCTTGAGCAGATTATTTGACCAATAATTTTTTCTGTTTTTAAAGAAAGGACTTCCACCTATTTTGAAGCCAAGATATTTTTATCACAACAAAATTAACATAACTAATATCATCATCCCAAAAATTGAAATCTTTTCTCACCTAAAACTAAGAAGGTTAAAAAAAAAAAAAAAAAAAAAAGAAAAAAAGAAAAAAAAGAAAAAAAAGAAAAGACAAAACTCAATGATCTATAGATGATTAACAATTTATTATAAATTATATTAAATAATTTGTTGTGTTCTCTTTTGCAAAGATACCCTTGGGAAAGGTATGAATCTCTTTTTCTCTCTCCAGATATGGGTTAAATAGAAAGTTAAACCGATTTTTCTTGTTTTTGGTTGGCATCTAGTCTAGGAGAAAGACAACTGAATTCAAAGCCAATTTAGTGTGGGACAAGCAACTCAACCTTGTAAGAACTTACATGCTATAAAACCCACAGCAGCAAGACCTTGTGCAGTGAGGCTGTGACATTATTCTCTAGAGGGGAGATGTCACTAAAGAAGAGGAAATGGAGGAGGATATTAAACAAATTTTTTCAGTCGGACTAATGTCCTCATCTTTGTTATCATCATTATCACAATGTTTTGTCTGTTGAGCTCTCTGGCCTTCTTCAGGTATCTGTCAATATGGATGGCCTTCAGGGAATTTCAAATTTAATCTATGAGGCTAGATTGTACTTCTGCTGTCCAGGTCTAAGAATATCTAATCTCCCCTTTTTAGTATTGCTCACAGTAGTTCAGATTCAGTGGAGAAGAGGGGGGTGTCTGGTGATGAAAGGACTAACAACAACAGTTTTCTTTTCTACTTACAAGTGTGGCCGATTTTTTTCTTTTTTGTGTTATTGAAAGTGTTCAAGTGATGTGGTTTTTGTTATAGTTCATTGTTTGTGATTTTGTATTGCAATATCTACAATATCTGATGAGGTATAATTTTTTTTTTTTAACGGTGGGGGTGGTGATGGGGGGTTATTAAAGCCTAGTATGTGTACCGATTTTTTCAACTGCTTTATTTTCTAATGTTGTACTTTGTTAAAGTCTTTGTGTCAGGATGTGAAATTCATAACACTCAAGATGAGAAGACCAGCTTAAAAAAAAAAGCACGCTAATGAAACGTTCACAATGTACCTACCTTACTAGCACTAGCAACCACAGGTGGTGGCAAAGTATTAGAGAAAAGGTATGGACGAGATCGTTGCCGCAACATGTTAATTAATGACTTCGGTCCAGTTGTATAACCACCTGTAATAAGAAATATAAGACAATAAAGCATTTAAAATAAGACTAAATTGTTCTTACTTACGCACAAAAAATCTACCATTGAAATGTAGAGTTGATAATTTTAAGAATTACACACAACAAGGTAAACAATTGACTTTTATGTAACGAATGAAAACAAAACATAGAATTTAAAAATTAAAACATGATTCTACATTACTCTGATGAAAATAAATAGTGAAATGTTGAATTTATAAAGATTTTCCTACTTGTTCCCTTTTAACCTTTAACATTCTGGAGGTGATTTTGTTTGGAAAGCAACTAATTTTATCCTGCCACTGCAAGTGACTCACATGAATGAATGTTTGAATTTTGAAGTTGTGTTGTCATATCCTGCTATGGCAACAGAAAATGACCATGATGTAAATTAAGTAGTGCAATAGAGGAGTCTTAAAAAACAATGGTGTGGAAAGGGAAGGTGTGAATAATGCAGAGTGTTAAAGGTTAATCAGAGCCCATGTAAATAAAATAACCAATACACAAGGAGGTGCTGAAAAGATTGAGGAAAAAAACACTGATGTTTAGTCATCTGGTTAAATTATTTTGTGAAATGGAGCAGAGAATTTTTCAGCACCCCCAAATATTAAGACTATATGTAATTAAAAAAAACATTCAAGAACAAAAGTGAATACAAATATAGGCTGTGTCGAACTTACCAGCTGCTCCTCCAAGAGCTTTTCCTAAGGTAGAATTGATTACATCAACACGACCCTCTATACCAAAATATTCTTCAGTACCTCTGTTATAAAAAAAACCAAAAAAAAAACCAGAATTAACAAGGGTAGAGATTTATTTAAAAGGGAATAAAAATATACCTTTTTCCCCCCTCAATTACAGTATCTCACTTTGAATTTTTTAAAAGTTTCAGAAACTTAATTTATCACAAATCCATTTTATTCTAATGTCAACAGAATTCACATAACCTTGAATTTGCACTGATAAAACAAATTGCAACACTTTAAAATTATAAATTTTAAAATCATAAATTTTTAAAATTCAAAACAGTTAAATCATATTTTGACAATAGAACTGATTAATAAAATGGCTGGCATGTTAAATTCTATAATTGTTCAAAATACTTTTGATTTTTCATAACATAACAATGTAACATTTTGCTCTTTTCAAGATTATTATTTATATATAAATTATAATATTACAAGAGAAGAACCATAAACCAATCTTATCATAATCATTTTAGATTTAGCTTATATAAAATTCTTGAAGCATAGCTTTGACTTTATTAAAATGATTCAATTTAGTAACATAGCAAAGCATTGTATTACTAAAAAAAAAAAAAAAAAAAAAAAAAGAGAAGAAAAATAAAGAAACTTTTTGTCTTTCTTTACCTGCCAGTTTTTCCAAAGAAACCAGTTGCATGGCATTCATCAATAAACACCAAAGCCTTGTATTTGTCAGCCAGATCGCAGATCTCTCTGCAATAAGAGAAGAGAAAATTCGAATGAAATTTATTTTTTATTAAAGGGACAAAAAGATGCGAAACTATCCCATCTAATTTAATGTACTTGGAAGTCTCCAAAAACAGTTGGGATGATATTTAAATGTCAACTGGAGTGTTTCCTTTGTTACAGAACACAATATTAACAGACAGAATAATTTTCTTTTTTTTTTTTTTTGCATGGTTGTTCAACATTAATTTTATTTTTAGTTGAAAATTTTAAAATATAATTTTTTTTAAAGTCAACTGTTGTAATTTCAGTTAATATTAGTTTTTAAGTTTTAGTCTGACTTAGTCATTAAATGCCAGGAAAATTTATATATGCCAACAAGGTAGTCTAAAAAAAAAAAAAAAAAAACCCTAAGAACTTTCTTTTTTTGTTAGATGAGTAGGTTTAACAACATTACATGTCATGCGAGACTATTCAATATTGAATATTCCATTTTATTTGTTAATTCAGAACTAAATATACAAGCCTTATTTAAATATTTTTTTTATATAAATTACCATCAGGAATATTTCAATTAATTTAAAAAACAATGTTATGTATGTATATATCTAGTACTAATAATTCTTGAAAAAAAAAAAAAAGTCTCATTAACTCATCATAATTTGTAGTATAAACCCACTTCCTTTACAGAAGATTGTGTTTTGAATAAGCCACTCATGCCATCACAAAAAATCCTTGAGGGGGTAAGATTATCACACTTGATCAGGACATAGTGCTTGAGCTGTTGCACATGCCAATGGCTCCTTTCTCAGATTAGTACTACTTAAGAAACTTAACATTATTTCTATAGTAAAGATTCACATTCCCTTGTATGAAATTAAACTAAAAATACAAAGTTAAAAAAATTTGTAATGCCTATATTTTTTTAATGAGAATTAAAAAAAAATATTTCAATATTTAACTGATTGAGCTCATTCCAAATAAAACTTCAAAAACTATAAATTTTACATTACTTTTATGTGCTCTGTCTTTTCAGGATTTGGTCAATCATGGCTCTCCACAACTTCATATCCATTGTAGCTCTAAACAACATTCAAGTCTTTCCTGTCCCTCTTTGCTCCACCCAATTACACATGTTCTCATTAAAAAGGTTGTTCACTGTTTCTCTGTTCTTCCCGTTTTCAATAAATCCTGTGAGTGTTAAATTTTCCAAGCACTTCTTCCTCATTATGTGTACCGAAAATTTCAACTGATTGATTTTTAAGTATAAACATCTTTTTTAGTACCCATTTACTTTAAAACTTCCCCATTGCTTATATGTTTAGTTCATAGTCTTCACAGCATTTGCCTACAAAACTACTTCATCTGTAAGAAAACTGTCCAGAATTCAACACCACATTTGAAAATGGCTGAAAGACAACAGTTCAGCACTTTTCATTATTTCTAACAAAATTTTTTTTTTTAAATTTCTAGAAGACATCTTTCGCTTTTCTGATATGCCTTTGGATTTCCATTATAACATTAACCAGAGAGTTAACTATTTGCAGTTGCTTGATTCCGACATCTCACAAAAAAAACATGTCATTATTAAAAATTTTGTCACAAAAATTTAATTTTTTTCTTTATGCTATTATTATTCAAAATAACAAATATCTTGATTATAAAATTCATTTTTTAAGGAATAATGTGTGTTTTCTTAATAACACATGAAGTATATTGATACCATCCTTGTAAGAAAAAAAAAAAAAAAAAAAAAATGAATGTAACTTTTTGAAAACTTTTTTCCCAAAATTATTATACAAAAATTTGTACATTTGAAGAAATATGAATAAAAATTTAATTAATAATTTTTCTATGATATTATTCTTCATAACAAACATATTGATTTGAAAAAAAAAAAAAATTATTCAGGGCTATTTTTTTAAAAAAGAATTATGTTGAATTTTATTAGCATTGTTGTTGTTAAGAATGCAAAACAAAAATAACCAGTTTAATATTTTTTTTAAAATATACTGTAAAAATATTAAATGGGTCAATTTTGTTTAGATAACTGTATTTTATGGGGGAGGAAGTGATCGATCCGTAACCCCCATAAAATCATAAAATATAATTATCCAAAAATTTTAATGAGGAAGGTTCAGTTTGCTATGTAAGTTCAGCATTTTGTTTAGATAATTGTATTTTATGGGGGAGGAGGGGATTGATCCGTAACCCCCATAAAACCATAAAATAAAAAATTTTAATGAGGAAGGTTCAGTTTGCTATGTAAGTTCAACATAAAATGAATCCTGCTCAGGGAAACAATTTGGAAATCCTTTGGAACCACATAATTCCTTAAAGATGGAAAGTAACATGAAAAAATGACAAATTCCCACATTCATACAAACTTTAAATTCTTAATTCTGAATTCTAAACCCTACAGACAAGACCTCAAGTTTCATACAATTTTTAGGAGCATCATCTAATAAAATTGTAATTTTAACAAAATAATAGTTTAGTTAATATTTTTTAATTTCAGTACTCCCAAATCTCTCAAAATGCTTAAAAAGTGCTGTGTAATAGGTTGTCATGGTAACTATGATTAACAAAATATAGTATGTGTATTTTGTCTTATCCAAGATAAGAATGAGCAAGAGCAATGGTCAAAGACAATACCTCAAGACAACACCACTATTGTTTGTGAAAGGCATTTCTATCTGATTATGAAAGAATGGTTATTACAGTGTAACCCGGATATAAGAGAGATTTTCTCTGGTCCCAAATTAGAGCCTGTGTTAATGTATATAAAATAGACCAAACCTGGATATAAGAGACTTCTTCTCCGGTCCCGACAACTCTCTTATATCCGGGTTACACCGTACAAGAAAAGTGTGACCCAGAAATCTACCATCAATACTTTTGATCATTTGCCATAGGTTACCTAGTCCTCCTCAAAAACCAACAAATAAAACTTCTGTTTTTGTGTTAATGTGCAAAATGATTGTAGTTTCTTGAGAAAAAAAAAAAAAAATGAAAAAAATTTTATATATTGTTGATGCAATCAAATGGTCAAGGATCACAATGAAAACTAAATGACATATCATGTCAATTAGTTTTCGTTGTGATCCTTTCAAGTTCGTGGATTAATTTCTTGGTAGCCTTAGGAAACTGATTAAAAAAAATACCAAAATTTTCTTTCAAGTAGTTTTTATTTTCCCCAAGTACTTTCAATCTCATCAAAGGCCGTGAACTTGAAAGGATCACAATGAAAACTAATCAACATGATATATCTAAATTATTTAACCAAACCTGTTTGAATATATATATATATATATATATATATATATATATATATTATACACACACACACATATATATATATTATATACACACACACAGTATCAGAATACCTTTAGTCTTTTCTTCCTAAATTTAAAAAAAAAAAAAAATGCAATCTAGGAACCACAAAGAAAAAAAAAATCATAGCATTAAGAAACCTTAGAGAGGTTGATACACAAGATTGTATATTATGTAAATCAAAGTGATATTTTTCTGTATTATTTTATTAAACATTCTGTGATTTTCCTCAACACCATTCATTGACATAAGCATTTAAGCTAACATTTCACCAATTCATTTAGCACATGTGCCTGACTTTAAGAATAGATTATCAAAATAATTTCTTCATAATTAACTTACGGTAATGGAGCAACATTTCCATCCATGCTGAAAACTCCATCAGTTGCTATTAGACGTTGACGAAGTCCAGAAGTTTCCTGAAGCTGTTTTTCTAGATCTATCCAAATGAAAA